AATCAGACATTACAAAACCACTAATTGGCACAATTAACATACAACAATATAATAAAAATATATTGATTTTTAGCAGCTATTCTATCAAATAAAGGAACGCTATAAATAAATTTTGGAATTTTTGAAAACAACCTATTGATAACTCTTAGGAATACTATTAAAATTACACATACACCTATAGATTTATGAATACTATACCAGCTCAATTTATTAATTGATTCATTTGGTAAATATTTCATTAACAAACCTCCTATAATATTACAAAATATTATAAGAAATAAAAACCAATGAAAAAACCTCATTGACTTTGAATATTTTATCATTTCTTTATTAATCATTATATTAATTAGAGCTCATCATGCGCTCCATGATCTGTTTGAACACTTAATTCTTCAGGTTTCACATTAGCTGGAGGACCAGGAAAATTAACTGTAACTGAATCATCTTGGCTATTTTTTGTAATTACTATTCCATCAGTTATAGGGTTATAAGGTTTTACCATATGATGCTTTAGATATATTTCTTGATCTACTCCATTAAACTTTACTTTGAGAGGACTAGATACATCTTTTAATGTTGTTTTTGAACCAGGCACAATTATTTCTCCATTATAAACTAAGTTATAATATGCTTCATTACCATTTTTACCAAGATTGACTGCAACTGTATATTTTGAACTATCCTCGTAAGGATTAGGAATATTTAAACCTGACAAGTCACCAACTTTTACCGTAACTTTTCCAATAGCATCTTTATTTGGATTATGAAGAGTGCCATCTTGCCCTAATGCATCATCATATGCAAATGTATAAACTGGTTGCCCTTCAAAACTATGAAAAGCTTTAGAATAAACATCATACCAAGGACCACCTTTATTATCTTCAATATTAGAGTTTTGCTTATAAAATTCTCTTTTCTTAGATTTAAAATACTCTAGATTTAATAGGGCATCATCTTCAGATGGCAATAAGCCTGCGTCAAAAGCTGAAGTTAAAGCTCTTACTATTATTGCACCAACCGAATGGTTAGGAAAATCAAAATTACCTTGAGCTCCCGCAAAAAAAGAAATTGAACCAGGTTTAGAAATTACAACTGAAGTTTCATTACCTTGATTACTAAAAATAAATTTATCACTTTCAACATCTCCTTCAAAAATATAACCATTGTTTAGTTTTGGCATAAAATCTTTATCCCCTTTAAGCTCACTGCAATCAACTTTTATACCCTTGCATATATAATAATGCCATACATAATCAATATAATTCAACCCAAATTTATCATTAGAAAGATAATCATTTGCAAAAATAGGATTTGAACCGGGACCAGTGCCTATCATTGCTTTACCAGGAGACATTACTCTTAAAACATCATTATCTTCGCCAAACTTTAAAAACAATTTATTCCATT